TACCGAGTTTGCGAGAATAAAACATGTTCTAATCTCCCAACTAGTTGCTATCGATCGGTTGGTCGCGCGGCTTCTTCGTTTACACTGCCGATTGTCGGATGTATAGTTGAGATGTTGGTCCAATTCACCAATTTGACAACATAAAGTCGGTAGTGTAACCCCAGCTTTAGTCAGGGGCATGTATGTGTGGTGATGATCGTGTGAGAAGCTGGTGGTGATCTTACCTGGTGGTGTATGTCGAGGAAGGCGTGGCTAGGCTTGGCATCCGCCTCATACTCCTGTTCCCGCACCGTGTAGCGGTACACTGCGGATTTGCGCGTGTGATGTCCGTGCCCGTGTCTGTGCGTGCGTGCCGCGGCGGAGACAGAGCCGTTCCAGCCACCGTGCTCAACACCATCCCAGTGCTGCTGCTGCGGAGACGATCAAGTCAACTCGTTAGCAACTAATTAATTATACGTGTGAGCATATTATAACGTAAGTTCATTAGTTGGTGAAACAAAGTCTATGGGAATCGAAGCAGGCAGTGAAAACCTATCTACGGAATCACTCGCAAGCGAGTATGATTGTCTAGAATTACTAGAATTATTCTCTGTGCATTCTCAGATGACTTATAAATCCTAGACGACGACCCACACATCTTGCCACACACTTGACAGCTGTTTCTAGGGGGTAGGGGTGGAATTTTTCCCTGTTCCTGGGACCCTGCATGTAAGCCAACGTGATGATGAATCGCATGTAGGAGACATCACATGATGCCGTGGGGAGAGCGAGTAGAGAGAGAGTAGGGAGAGTAGAGAGAGTAGTAGGGATAGAGTAGAGAGAGAGTAGAGAGAGAGAGTAGAGAGAGAGAGAGTAGAGAGAGAGTAGTGGGGAGAGAGAGTAGTGGGGAGAGAGTAGAGAGAGAGTAGGGAGTACTGAGATAGAGTAGTAGGGAGAGAGTAGAGAGAGAGAGAGTAGGAGTAGAGAGAGTAGAGTAGGGGAGAGAGAGAGAGAGAGTAGGAGTAC